TAGGTTGACTGGTTGGTGGATGAAGACTAGATTTGATGGAATTAGAGATTTCGCACGGGTAGGTAAAATATTCGTGCAGAATGGACATTGAAGTTCCAAAACATTTAAGTTGCAAGCATATCCCGAAGCAAATGTAAATTCCTCTCTTCTACTCGCACAGGAGGTTACACAACATGTGAGTCAACCTAACATGTAGGTTACCTTTGGAGCTCAAATGGCTGCTATAAGCCAAGGGTTGCAGATGAAAATGAAGAAATATGGTCAGTAAGCAGTAGGGAGAACCTACCATCTGCCAGACGCCCTTCAGAGCCAGTTGTCCTGTTGCTTCTCTGGGTTGCATAGAGTTCCTTACCATCTATCTATTAAATAATTTTGTAAGTTAGTAAGCTTCTTGAGGCCAATTAATTGTCTCCATACTGTCCACAGGCCAAAAACCATGAAGTCATAATTGAGGTTTTCTTTTTCTCTCATATACTACATCCAAGCTGTCAAGAAACCCTATTTGTTCTATCTTCAAAATATATCTAGAATCTAACCAGTTCTCATTGTCTCTGCTGCCAACATTTGAGCCCATGCTTTCGTCACCTCATACCTGAGTAACAATAGCCTTCCAAGTGTTCTCCCCACTCCTACCTTTTCTCTCTTACCCATACCTAAACCAGAAGACAGACAAGCCTTTTAAAATGTAAGTCAGATCATCTTAGTCTTGGCTTGAAACGTTTCTCTAACTTTCCATTAGAGAAGAACTGACAATGGTTTATAAGGCCCCAAGTGCTTTGGCTGCATTCCTCTCTGTTCTTCTCCTCCCTCACCCTGTTCCTGCTACACTAGCCTCCTTGCTGTTGCCAGAAAGCGCCAGGAATCTGCCCTTGCTAGGACATTTGAAGTGGTTGCTCTCTCGCTTTCTCAAACCTTTGCTGGAATTTCACCTTCTCAATGAGGCCTTCCCTGACCACTCTATATAAAACTGAAGCCAGCCTTCTAGTTCTCCTTACCCTCCTCTACTTTTTCTTTTCCCATGGTATTTAGCACCATCTAACAACAATTTCATATACTTGTTTATTACATATGTTGCAAATTATCTCCTGCTCCTAGATAAATGCTCCATGCACGTGTTTTATTCACGTACACGCCTGACAGCACAGCAGTGCCAGCAATGCCTGGCACACAGGAGATGCACAAGAAATATCTGTTGACTGAATGAATTACCATAAAACACTATTTTCATTGTGACTCGTAAATGATGTATTTATACACCATCATATTTCTAGACATTACGAAGACATTGCTCGAGCTAGACTTTCTCAGCACCTAAACATACTCCTGCATGGTAAATCAGGAATCCCTATATATGGCATTTACTCTTTCAAGTCATCATGGTGTAATTTTTAAAGACTTCAACATATTTGTTTTTTAAAATAGAAAGTTTACTTTTTCCTGCTAGGGTACCTTTCTAAATTTCTTTGGCTGAGTCCTAAGCATTCTATAGATACAGCTATAGATATTTTATTCCTCCATTCATCTGTACCTATAATGACTCAGGGAAACATTCCCACCAAGAGCCTGAAGCATGCTCAGCCCTTTGGAAGTCCTAGTCATCATTCCAATGGTTATTCCTTTGTTGTTGTTGTTGTTGTTTTGAGACAGAGTCTTGCTCTGTCGCCCAGGCTGGAGTGCAGTGGTGCGATCTCAGCTCACTGCACATTCCGCCTCCTGGGTTCACGCCATTCTCCTGCCTCAGCCTCCCGAGTGCCCAACACCACACCCGGCTAATTTTTTGTATTTTTAGTAGAGACGATCTCAGCTCACTGCACATTCCGCCTCCTGGGTTCACGCCATTCTCCTGCCTCAGCCTCCCGAGTGCCCAACACCACACCCGGCTAATTTTTTGTATTTTTAGTAGAGACGAGTTTTCACCGTGTTAGCCAGGATGGTCTCGATCTCCTGACCTCGTGATCCTCCGTCCTCGGCCTCCCACAGTGCTGGGATTACAGGCATGAGCCACCGTGCCTGGTCCCTAATGATTATTCTTACTCCCATTTCCTCAGTTGCTTCCACAGAACAGACCTGGAGCCTCTGCCCCCTTACTTCAAATCAACAACTCTGATTTTCATCATCAGTTATCACTAACTGATATGTTCTTGTTTATGTCCTTTTTTGTATTTTTTATCACTTTTTTGTATTTTTATCACATGTTGTCTATGCATTTTTATTTGCTTATTGTTGATCTGCACTTCTTACACAAACTCTTCACAGAATTTAAGTTCCTTGACAGCAAGGATCTTGTCTGTTATCCACTGCTATATCTCAGAACCTAGCACCCTCTCTCAAGGCGTGATGAGAAGAGAGTCTATCCGAAGACATCTGACATGCAGTAATCATTTTGATTCATTAGAGCTTGCAGGAAAGCATTCCCAAATAAACAAAGGGCCAAGGGCCATGAGCCTTCTATATACCCACACATAGAATTTCATCACAGGGAATGAGAGGCCAGCTTTCCCACAGCAAGGATATATTTAGTGGTCCTTGTCCTTTCTCTTTCCTCTCTTTTGAACCATTAGCTTGACTTTTAAGCATTATACCTCTCTCATGTAGCCGCTCCCTACAAAGCCACAACTTCCTTTGCAAAAGTAATTATGAACATCTTCCTCTTTCACACATCTCTCTCCACCCTGGCACACACCAAAATACACTGATTGTCCCTGCATAAGGCTACTTGAAAACTTGCTGTATCACCATTTACTACATTTTTCAGGCTGTCTACAATTTTTAGTGCAGTGCAGTCTTTCTTATCCATTCTCTTTTTACAAGCAAGTTGCCATCACTTGTCCAGTAACACTAAAGTACACTTAGAATTATGCATTTCTTCAAGGGAAGACAGGTGAGCCGTGCTCTGCCAGATTCTCATCTGTAAAGGATGACCTTGAAAAGTCCTGGAGAAAGTGGCTTCTTCATTCCTACGTGTTTCACCTCCACTGTGCATGCTCACAAAGTAAGCCTTAATGCCACGGACCATCGTACTTTTCAAGCATCATTGCATAGGGAAGAGACACTGCTTTCGCTACTGCCCTAGCCAATCTTAAATAAGGTAAAGAAATACTACAAGTTGGGACTGTAAGTGAAGAGGTATATTCTAAGGGCAAAAACCAATTTCCATGGAACTGAGATACCTGCCTCATTTAAGGCAACCATATGACACACGGGTTCACAAGTGTTCTCAAAACTTCATTTACTCCCGCAGGTAAAACAAAGCTGTAGCTATAGTTAAGGCTTGAGCTGCAGTTGCTTCTGGAACAAGAAATAGAACCAAGAAAATATCTGCAAAGATGCACTTGAAATGGACATTCAGACTCTATAGTTTTTTAAAGCAGAGGCAGCGTTGCTTCTTTCTCCAGCCAGACCCCAGATACCAGTGCCTACCAAAGGGTCCTCTCTCACACACCCTCCTATACTGTTAGGCTTTGTGGGAAGTTAGAAATCATATTATCCGGGGGCACGGACTACGGACTATCTCCCAAACAGGCAAAGAGAAGACATCTTAGTAGGGAATTGAGTCATCTTGGGAGCTGGGAGGAAGATGGGTTACACCTTGACAATGGTCTGCAGCAGGAAGATCCATTACCCATTATGCCCTAGCGCACCCACCCATACTCACTCATATTCCCCCAGGGGTGCTCTGATGCGACACTGTCCACAGGCTGCACACTCCTCAGGTCTAATTAATGATGCCCACCCTCCCCACCTACTAAACACATTTGCAATTTAAGCATCTCTAGCTCTCCACTACCACCCACCTTTCTCCTCCACTGTCCCTTCCTCTCCATGGAGATAATTAACTAGTTAACTACTTATTAGTCCTTCAGTTGATTAGGATTTCAGGCTCACACTAAGGCCTTATCCTAAAGTCGATAAAGATTTGTGACAGCGACAGGGAAAAAATTCGAAACCAGCTAGCAAAACTTTCCTGAAGGATAGAGATACTTAAGATCTAAAAATTATCTTAAGGGTTGGATTCCATACCATGAATCCCCTTTTCCTCCTTCCCCACAGCTCCCTATAGTGAAAGATAGGTAACCTTAAGAATAAATGATAAATCCTGTGACTATTAGGTTTTTCCTGAGAGTTCCTCGGGGACCCGGAGGTAACCGTGTATGTGCGTGCGTGTGTGTCTGTGTGTGTACAAGGTCCGGAGAAGCGAAACGGTGGCAGGTTCCTACAGACCCCGACCCTGTTCCCTTGGCCACCTGGTCCCGGGTAGCTGCATCCCTGGGCGGCGCACGCAGGGAAGCGTCGCGCTCTGGCGCCGGTGC